GCAGCTCGGTGTCTCCGGAGAGTCTCTCGCCTCTCTGGGCCTCAGTGTCCCTCCCCCACTGGCACTTCAGTTCTTACAAGGACAGGGCTTCTGTGCGTCTCGCTCCCCTGAGGCCTGAGCACACAGGGCCCTGCGTGGCACACGGCAGGTGTTTAGCAGCTGTTCTCACAGGAGGGAATGGCTCCTCTGTGACCGAGTGTGGCATTCAAGGTGTGTCTGGCTCCAGCAGCTCTTCTCGGGCCCCCCTCCCATGCTCCCCCTGCACACGCTCTTTGCTGCATCCCCACCCACACCCCGCTTCTTATCCTTGACCTTATTCCTGTCTGCATCTACCTGCCCCACCTCCTCTTGCCTCCCCTTCCCTGCTCTCCTGCCTCGGTCTTCACAGAAATTTTCCTGTCCGGGAGGAGGAGAGCCCCCTTTTGGGTTTTCTACTGTCTTCCAGAGATGATATGAAGACTGCTCTGTAAAACTAAGGCCTCCAGGCCAAAGCAGGATGCCATCTTTTTCTTTCCCCCAACAGGTTTTTGCCTTAAGGCACGTGCACTTGTCAGAAAGAGAGAGAGAGAGAGAGAGAGAGAGGGAGAGAGAGATATCCCCACCCCGGGGGATGGCCACGCTGCAATCCCTTCTCCTCCATTCTCTTCCCAGGATCTTGGGCATGCATGCACACGTGCCCAGCATGAGTTTCAAGCCACTGGGTCCAGGACTAGAACCGTGGTTGGCCATGTGGGAATCTAGCAACAACCGCTATGCCATCTGTTGGCCCCACCATCTGTCTTTGTAAATAAAGTTTTATTTACACAGTCATACGCATTCATGTATGTGTCTAGGACTGTTGAAGGAAGTGAATCGGAAGTCATGACAGAAGGAGCCCCACCTGCAAGGAGGACTACAATAGAAACTCCCTAACCTTTCACGCCGACCTCTGTCGCGGATCAAGGGTAGACTGTGAGGTTGGACGTGGACGACTCTGCTGCAGCCTCACAGCAACCCTATGGGAGCTTGGGAACTGCTGCAGGACCCGCGTTACAGATGTGGACACCGAGGCTCGAGGGGATGGGACTCGGCCGGGGATTTGAACCCACCAAGGCCATGCCCCTAGATTCCAGAGCAGACCCTCCCTACACCCGCAAGACAAATACAAGGGGACCAGCTTGTCCGTCGCCAGTAGATCCTGTAAGTGCAGAGGAGTTCTCAAGATGAGGGTAAGTGGGGCCAGAGGAGCCCTGGAAGGCTCTCGGAAGAGGCGGATCTGAGCTGAGTCATTCAGGGAGAAGAGAGTGAGCGGACGGAGGGGGGTGGGGAGAGGGAGGTGAGAGATCTGGAGGAGCCCAGGAAGGAAATCTGGAAGGGTGGACCAGGTAACTGGGGCAAGGCAGGACTCGAGCCAGACAGGGATGCTGGCGATGGGGAAGCACGGGACGCTGCACATGCTGTTCGAGGGCGATTCTTCGGCAGGGTCGCCAAAGATGGCCACGTCTGCAGGCAGAAGGGGGTTAAGGCTGCAGGGAATTCCCCAGCAGGCATGGCAAAGAATTCTGAATTCCCTCCAAAGGACACAGCACAAGTGGATAGATTTTGGGAGGGTGGATTATAAGCGAGACCTTCCCTGTGCCCAAAAGGTTGACAAAAGTTTCCCCAAGGGTATGAGTCATCCGACCTCGGGCAAACGATTTAACTCTCTGTGACTCAATGTCCTCAACTGTCAAGCAGAGCGGCATCGGTAGCAGGGGCTGCCGTGAGGGTTAAAGGCGCTGGCTGATATTTGCAAAGGACACCGAAGAGTACCTGGCACGGAGGACATTGCTAGAGAAGGGTTTGTTAGGTAAATACTGAACACAAATACGATCCGACTTCAGCAAATATCAGCTCCCAACTTTTTTGCCCCCAATGATTCACCCGCTGTTCGGAATTCGCTGGGCGCACAGTGTGGTTAATTTAAACACTGCGGCAGAGTGGCGAACCTGAACGGCATTTCAATGAACACAAACCTTATTTTTAACAAGACACACTTTGGCACTTGCGAGAACATTTAAAAATACCTTCCCTGTTCCAAAGCAGCACTGTGTGGCAACCCAGTCCAGAGAGAAAGCCTTCATTTCGGGGCCGTCATTTGCCCCACAGGGCTCTGGGCTCTGGGGATGTCAGTCAGACTTGCAGCCACAGCTGTCGTGACACCGAGGCCGAGTCGGAAAGGCCCTTTGCAGGTCACTCATTCCGCTCCTGAGTTCACAACAGCCAGTCGGCCTGCTCCTCTCACGACGGGGGGTCCTCGGAGACAGATTCTGCACCTTTGTTCTCTAGACACACACACACAAGGCCACCTGCTCTGTGCCTGCGTTGGGGACACAGGGATGGCACCATGGAAGGACCTTTGGTCTCAGAGCGGATCTCCCAGGGGGAGACAGACAGAGCACGGAGACGAATACACCAGCTGAC